GTTATTGTGTCAAAATAAATAAAATTATTCCGTGAATGTACACTTTCCTTCATTCATAGCAAGGGTGTTTTTCAGGCAGACCAGAGGCCTTGAGGTGGTATGCGAATGCGAGGGATAATTCATCAGCTGCCATCTCGTAATAAGTTCTCGTATTACGTGACGACAAACAGACAAGAACGAATGTTCCACACCCGCTGTCATGGCAGCAGGAGGCGTTAACTGAGGCTCCACGTTTAAATGCACATATATACCCGATAATTTGGACGGGGTTATATGTGCCACCATAGCTCAGTAGTAGAGACTCGGACGCTTTATTTGACGGTCGCAGGTGCGCATCCTGCCAGTGGCAAGTTACCTTTTCGTCTACTTTCATTATCACCATAATTACATTACAAATACTTCTAATAACTACCTCTATATTTTACTTTGTATTATTGTTGGTTAGTTCTCAAGAAAATAGTGCGTCTAACAAATCAAACAAGCCCTTCAATTAACACTCACCCTAAATATGTACGATCACACTGACCGTTTTTCATTCTGGGCCGAAGAAGCATAATGAATTAGAAGGAGATAGTCGACGTTGAGCTAGCTTCGAGAGGGCAAGTACAGGAATTCAGAGTCTCGCTTCAGAACAAGTACTCGGCCTTTATCTAGGAAAACAGCCTTAGCGTTGACGCAATGAATGATAATCTGACGATTATCATTACGGAATGTGCAGTGGCAGTTGGAGGTACTGTAGTTAGACAGGACGCCGGCAAGCTGTCCCAGGAAACGAAGAATCTCATTAAGAAGCGTCAAAGCACGAAAGCCTCGAGTACAACCGACAAAATAGAGTTGGTAGAGCTTTCGAAGTTGATTAATAAGCGTAAGGTATCCGATATAAGAAGGAATAACATGGACAGAATGGAATACGCTCTGAAGAACGAAGGAAGTGTAAAAGCTGTGAAGAGAAAACTTGGTATAGGAAAAAATTAGATGCATGCACTAAGAGACAAGGAAGGCAAAGTGACTACCAATATGGATAAGATAGCAAAATTAGCGGAGGATTTTTACAGAGATCTGTACAGTAACCAGCACAACCACGACCTTAATATAATAACTAGCAGTAACCGAAACGACAACCCACCAGTAATAATAGAAGAAGGTCAGAAAAGCCTCGGAGAGCATGCAAAGAGGCAAAGCTGCTAGTGATGATCAAGTAACATGAGATCTGCTGAAACATTGAAGTCAGATTGTGTTATAAAAACTAGCGACACTGTTTTCGAGGTGTCTTCGGACGGGAAGAATACCAGAATCATGAAAGAATGCTAAAATCAACCTAATACATAAGAAAGGAGATGACAAGGACTTGAAGAATTACAGACCGATCAGCTTGCTCTCCGTAGTATACAAGCTATTTACAAAGATAATCGCTAAGAGAATTAAGACATTAGAATTCAATCAACCAAAGGAACAAGCAGGATTTCGAACAGGCTACTCAACAATCGACTACATTCATACTATCAATCAGGTATTAGAGAAATGCTCAGAATACAGCCAGCCACTATACGTAGCCTTCATAGATTACGAGAAGGCGATAGACTTAGTAGAAATATCTTCAGTCATGCAGTCACTGCGGAATCAATGTGTCGACAAAGCATATATAAATATCCTGGAATAAATCTACTAGGGTTGAACTGCTACCATAGTGCTTCATAAAGAGAGCAATGCAATACCAACCAAGAAGGGTGTAAAGCAGGGGTACATAATCTCCCCAATGCTAATTACCGCGTGCTTAAAGGAGGTTTTCAAAGGCCTAGAATGGGAACAGTTAGGCATCAGAGTTAATGGAGCGTACCTAAGTAGCCTGCGCTTCGCCGATGATATTGCATTGCTGATAACTTGGGGAACGAATTGCAACTCATGATTACGGAGTTTGACAAGGAGAGCATAAAAGAAGGTCTTAAAATTAATCAGCAGGAAACGAAATTAATGTACAACCTCGGAAGAGAACAGTGCTTCGAGATAGGTAATAGTGTACTTGAAGTTGCAAGAGACTATGTCTACTTAGGACAGGTAATAACCGCTGAGCTGAACCATGAGACTGAAGTAACAAGAAGAATAGGAATGGAGTGGAGCACATTTGGCAAGCACTCTCAAATCATGACAGATAGATTGCCACTATCCCTCAAGAGGAAGGTATATAACAGCTGCATCTTGCCGGTACTTGGCTACGAAGCAGAAACCTGGAGATTTACAAAGAGGGTTAAGCTTAAATTGAGGTCGACGCAACGAGTAACGGAAAGGAAAGTGCTAGGTGTAATCTTAAAAGACAAGAAGAGAGCAGAGTAGATTAGGGAACGAACCGGGGTTAAGGATATCATAGTTGAATTCAAGAAGAGGAAATGGGCGTGGGCCGGGCATGAGCACGTAGAAAGGATAACCGCGGGTCATTAACGGTCACTAACTGAATTTCTAGACAAGGCAAATGGGTTAGGGGGAGACAGAAGGTTAGGTGGGCTGATGAGATTAAAAAGTTTGCGGGTACAAATTGGCAGCAGCAAGCACAGGACCGAGTTGACTAGCGGAAGATCTGAGAGGCCTTTGTCCAGCAGCTAACGTAGTAAGGCTGATCATGATGATGATGATGATGAGATTATCAACATGGAGCTGTGAGTGTCACGCGAGAGATCCTCATGAGGGAAACGCAACAAGAGAAACATATTATTCCTTTCCGATGAAAGGTCGCAGGTTGAATGCACGTCAATTAGTGCATCATCATGCTTTGGAGGGTTTGCCTAATGAGCGAGGGAGACAACTTGAGCAACAATAATAGCACAAAAGTAAAGCAGGATCTAGAGTCAATCATGTATTTGCAGCTGTCGAAATCATGATGAAATAGTGAGGTTCAGTTCATGAGAGAAGCTTTGTCAGATACTCCTTTTTTACGAAATGTTTACTATTTCCGTCTGAAGAACGAAGATGTAAGCGAATACTTCCGCGAAAGTCTGACTTCTTATTCTTGCATAGTTACTGAGGGGATGATAACTCTATCGATTTCCTTCGCCGGTCGGAATCGAACGATTCAGTTAGGAGAGATTATTATTAGCCGATTTACTCGGCAAATGACACGTATGTTAGAGATTACGATTAGCGTGCACTGGGAATTTCCGCTGAAACAGCTTCTTTTTGTTGCGACGCAATGCATCACATCTTTCCGTATATGTATATTTATTTGCGCAGTTAGGCCAGTCTTCTGTATGAAGTGCTGTTTAGTGGATTGTGTTGCTATCTATCCAGCGGTCGTGATTGGTTGTGCCAAAGTACCGAAAGCCGGCGTGCTGAAGGTAGCAAGAGTGTTATGACTGTATTCCTTGGCATTTCCAAGAAGATTGTATGCATGTGCTTGCGTAACTGCAATTAAACCGTACGAACATGTAGTCACCAACTGCTAATGCGACCGAATACACGATGGTATAATAGCCGTTGCAAAAGCCGCGCCTGCGAGACGCCTCCTAAGCACACCTTTCTTCACACCAGAAAGGTTAAGGTGGAGAGAGCAGAGACACGGTGGTATGAGAGTGCCTGTATCCTGCTGTAGAACATCTTCTAGGGCGTGGAGGGAGTTCAGGACACGGAGTATATACCTTACACCATGGTATAGAGGTTGATGTGGAAGAGCATATCTGATCTCGCAGCGCTAAATATTTGACACAAGACAAGACAAGGGACGAAGAAGGGGAACCAAGAGACAGTCTTAATTAGGATGGCAGTGTGCCTGCTGGTCCATTGAAACATTCGGAGAGATCACAGCAAGATATGAATCCATTGTTCTCCGACGCAAGTAGCTCTGTTACGGTTATCTCATGGGCCACTTCACAGATTTCTATTGCATTGTGAATGTTCGCGATTTCCTCGATAGCTCCTAGGAACGAAGTGAATACGTCAAGTGGAAGTACGTGCTCACCCTAAGAATTGCCCCCACAAGGTCATCTCACGTGAACAAACGACTTCCAATCTACCAACCACCATGCCTATCGATGGGTCATTATACGAATTAAGTGTACAATAAACGTTAAAACCTGTACTGTGTAATAACATGTAGTTCTTCACGACAGTTATTCAAATGCTGTGAAAAATTGCCAGTATGAGATCTTTAGAAAAAATTTGATGACCTCTGGACTGTGGCAGCTGATGCCAGGTAGGCTGCTCACTTTGGCATAGTCACATAGTTTCAGGTGCGTTACAAATCAGCATTTTATATCTTACACTTTCTTGTCACAGCTCTTTTGGTAGGCGTTGCAGTATCGCCCTCCGGGAAAAATATAGTGAAAAACATTGGCGGTGTATCTGTGTGCTTCACTGGCAAAGGTCGTCTCATTTTGCGCGTTTTCAACATAAGTGCGAGTTTGTCAATGTCTTAATACACCACGAGGTGGATACCTTAGCCAAAGTGTCAGTACCACTCACAGCATTGACTCATTGCAAAAACAACTCTGCGACGTGCGCGTACATCAGCTGGCTGGAACACTACGCTTGTCACTGACGCTCGTCTCGAGTGGAATCACAGCTCTGCCATGCAGGACACACAACGCGCTTTTTATTTCCCTGTAGTCCCGCCATGGTTTCCAATAACTTAGACCATGCCTATGGAATGGCGACCGTAGACCAAGTTCTGCATCCAATTAGCCACGCTCCTCTGGTGGTCGAGCCGATGTCTCTGACTACACTGCTGCAGTTACACAAGGGTATACTCAAGGATTCGTTTATTAAGTATTTGTTTAATGAGTGATCATCGACGTTATTCGTCTGGATAGAGAATTACAAACAAGCGTTAACGTGGGTGCATCTCCGTTAAACAGTTACATAGCTGCAAAACAATAGACATTGTGGAAACTTTGTTGTATTACGCACAATGAACATTAAAATATTTATTTGACAACAAATTTTATCTTCGTCGTACTGCGATTGCTATGACAGAGGTATCAAACGTATTTTTCGTCCTCACTGTTTTTCAACAGGTCATTGCTGCCATCAATAGCGACAACAATGTGGGCTTCTTGGCTCTCAAAAGAATCAGCCAAAGCTATCGTACGGCTACAACCAGCATGGAGCCTTGATACGGGTGCCTACGAATCGCTGAAGCCATGGGTCCACGCAGAGAATCTCAGGGCTCTCGATGCCGTTCGATTCTCCCAGCCCGCCATCCACGCCGATCAACAGTACCTTGACGTTGGTTGCGGATCGGGGAGCTTTACAAAGGAAGCACTGCTGCCACGAGTGCGACCAGAGTGCCGGCGTATCGTTGCGGTTGACAGGTCAGCGGAGGAAATACCCTCAACTTCTGATGCATTATCTCATAAGGTCTCAGTACACCACACGAAGATGTGATTTCAAAAACTGCACATGCCGCTACCCTTATTCAATATTAGATAATACTAGTCGTCCTTTTCATAACAATATGTGGTGCAGTGGCAAGCACAAAGGCCAGAAAAATGACGTTTATCGACGTTTCAACCTGAAAGCGATGTTTTTTCAAGTGAGTAGTTGACAATTTTTGTCACTGGAGAAGAGATGGCGTGGTCCTTTTGTAACTTCGTCGTGTAGAGACGCGCTAGTGACTATAATGGGGAACTGTGGACAGGCGTTTCATGCCAATATGAAAATTTGCCGTAGGAGCGAGCTGAGCCCAACAAAGACGAGGTGTCACCTTAATAAACAATTTTTGCTAGCACAAACAATAGGCGAGGTCGCCACGTTTGTAACGTGAGTAATTACAAACCACCGTTTTGAGCGCATGGCGCCGCTCTGTTTCATGGCTCGGAGTCTGTAACTGTGCACTACCCGCATTGCGTGAGCAACTTCAGTTTCCAGCTTGCGTATTGTATGACCGCTGGGTATTTTGGACCTCATTCTGAGTGTGTATGTATAAACTGTAGAGCCGGTACGGCCGTGACATTAGACGTGCTGACTCCAATCTCTTCGCGTTCGTCTCGGTGGGGCATGCATGAGACGTTATGCCCACTTAAATAGGTGTAGTGACACAGGTTCCGATCGCGGCTGCTGTCCGTTAGTAAAAACACTTGAACTTATTGCCACACCGCCCCATAGAGAAACATACTTACATAAAGAGCGGACACTCCCATAGAGCCCTGTGGCCAAGCTACTGAGTGGCTTTCAGCGCCACGAGTGGCTGGCTAGACCCAATAACATCTCAAGCATAAATAAAAGAAAAATACTTTTTTTCTATGCTAGGAATTGAACCTGTGCCCTCATATTCCGAAAGTGAGTGTGTCTATCACTAGAGGCTCCACACCCATGCATCCACAAAGGGAATACATGTACAGTGCATCTAAACCACATGCATGTGCTCTGTCCGTCCGTCCGTGCATCCATCCATCCATCCATCCATCAATCCATCCATCAATCCATCCATCCATCCATCCATCCATGGATGGATGGATGGATCCATCTCTATCCATGGGTGTCACCCCATGGGTGCATCCCATGGGTGTCACCCCATGAGTGCATCCATCCATCCATGGGGGTCACTGCAGTTCGAGGGCCCCGGGCGATTGAAATATCCGAGGTCCTCCTCTACGGCGTCTCTCGTAATCATATTGTGGCTTTGTGATGCTAAAGTCTTGATATTATTATTTTAACATGTTTTGATTCATAGAGGCTGATTGACAGCGTATATCACATTTGCTCTAAATAACTTATGTATGAGTGGTAGCATGATCTTCTTTTTTATGACCGCTTAGGAAAGCTCATTTTCTAGTTGATCTCAAGTTAATGAAGCTTTGAAGTACACAAAAAATGCGTAGCTTATGTGATATTTCAAGTGCAACTAGAGATATTGTGTTTTCGCGTGCGCGAGAGAAAAGTGCACTTGAGTGGCGCTGATTCTTGTGAAGCTGATGAGCTCCCATGCCATGAATATGAGCTTCCCACGCCTAAGCGAAAGAGTACTGAACATATATGGCTTTTTATTCTTCTAATAAGGTGCAAGAAGGTGTTACATGATGCAAGGGAGAACTTCAGTGACGAACACATAGTCTACGACACCATGGATATTGAAAACCATGACCCAGGGAGCCTCACCGAAAGATACGGTGCCTTCGATCGCGTCTACTCATTCCTGACTTTTCACTATGTGGCGGATATCACGAAGGCCTACGGCAACGTTTGCAAGCTGCTGAAACAAGGGGGAGAATGCCTGGTGCTCTCCGTCGTGAAAGCCGACGCCATCGACGTTTGGAACGAGGTGTATCAAATGGAGGAGTGGAATGCACTAATAATTGTGAGTCTGAATGGTTGAAAAAAACTAAGAACTCTAGTGCCTCTTTCATATCCATAATGACATAGAGAACCATAAAAAAGTTCATCTTTCACGCGAACCATGCGCTCAGTAATATCACTGGAATGGCCCATCATTTTCTTAGAGTTCGATGGTGTATCTAGTAAGTCCCCGAGGTGTGAACGTACGTATTACGCTTAAGTTCTTTTGTTTTAATGTGTCCAACCTATCTATACTTATGGCCGAACACACTGCAGTTGATTGATATGTGTGGTTTACCATCTAGAAATCATCATATGATTATGAGAAACGCTGTAGAGGAGGGCTGCGGAAATTTCGCCCACCTTGAGTTTTTTAACGTGCAGCCAAAACGAAGCGCACACTGCCACAGCATTTTAGCCTCCATCGAAAACGCAGCCGCCGCATCCGGAATTCGATCCCGCTACCTGCCGGGCTGAGTACATTTGAAAATGTGGCTCACCAGTCTAATTTCTAGTCTCTTAAGATGGTTAAAATTGCTTCTTTAATGATGACACCAAGCTTGTCGTAGTAGATGCTCTACTAAGGGTAATAGTTTTCACTAGCTGTAGCTGGCGTAGAAACTTACAGAATGCAGTGACTGTGAGAAAAAAAAAACGCTCTCGGTGGCGTTTCTTTGAAGATCGCTGGCAAAGGTCGTCGAACTTCTGCCTGGAGAGAGAGAATATAGTGTTTATTTCACGTTATGTCCGACAACATTGGCGAGTAGGTACTGCGTAAGAAATGAATGCTATCTAGGAGTAACTTGAAGAAACGAAGTTTTTCTAAAACTGAAAGCCACTGGTACGTTACAGCAATATGTAGTTCTAGTGCAGCGTAGTTAACACTGGCTTTTTCGGTCATCTAATTGCATTGCCAACGCCGCGTAATAAGCACTGCCGTCTTTACAATTACGTATCTATGCATTTTACAAAAAAGTTACACACTACTAATTAGCCAGTACTGATATTGCGCCAATATATACGTAATAGTTATTTTTTGACCGACAGTGTCAGCCCATTTCAACGCAGAAATCAGACCAAGAAGATAGGTCTCTCAAAAGTGTGTTAAACTGGCACCATTCTATTGAATCTAATGACAGACAAAAAAGCAGGAAAGGCACTCACACGAAACTTCTGTTTCGAAATATCCTAAAGCCTACCGTCTTTAAAACTGAAGCTACCTCCAGCTTCGTCTTTGGGAGTAAAACCCCAAGGCGACATCAAGTCCCAAGTGCATTCTGCGTAAGGGGTAGCATCAATTATTTGCGTTAAATTGAATCAACCTTGCTACGAACCCTCTACGCGGCTTTGAAATAATAGGCGCCGGATTGATTGGTGGGCCATTTGGCACCACTTTCTTTTTTCTCCCGACCTCAATGAAGTTCATACTCAATGACTCATTTTGTAGTAGGTGGTCGGTTCTGAACCATGAAGTCAGTATGATAATCACATTTTCTCAAGCCAAACGGCAATGTACAATTCTAGTACGTAGGGTGCTACCTAGAGGTAGCACATACAGGCACTCCAGTACCACACTATATTACTGCCTTGTTGCACGTTGTTTTGTGAAGAATGAATACAGGATGCGTGTTTTATACACTGTGACAGTTACTTTCATTCTATTTTTAAGCAGACGAAGTTCATTTCACTCTGTTTTTTTTTGAAGCAGTTGTTTGAATGTGTGGTAGAACACCCGCTTGCCATGCAACAGACCAGAAATGTTTTATTATTTATTTTATTTCCTTCTATATTTTTTGCTCACAACTAACGACGCCCATGCCGACACCGATACGATTGCTGACGCCGGAATTTCGATGAAGCAGGCTCTTTAAGGTTATCGCGTTAAAAAAGTAAATTTGTCGTGGAACACAATTATGTTCTCACTAATAAATGTAATATAGTGCTATTGTTGTCACATTCAACAAATTAATAATTGACATATGCAAGTTCCTTGAACGGGACACGTAACTTTACTCTTCGAGCAAGCTATAAAAGAAAACACTTTAGAATTGCGATTACTTCCCAACGCTCAATCGCGTTTCATTTGTCTGAAAGCGAGTGATGTCTTCTTTCTGTGTGCTTTCACACCAAGTTCTCTATCTCCTGCTTTAACCTCTGTCTCTGTGGTTCTTGTGTGCTACGGTGATACAGTTGTTATGTAGCTCGGCTGCTGCCCCGAATATTACGGCTTCGATCCCGGCAAAGGTATTCACGTATAGATGGAGGAGAAATGCTCAAAGCCTGCGTGCTGTGCTGTGTAATTGGATGCCAAAGAAGGCCACTCTATCAAATTTTGAAGCCATACACTGTGGCGTGTCGCATCAGCGAATCTTAGCTTTGGCACATAATACAGTAAATGTTAAAAGTACACCATTTCCAATGGCGTTTGACATGCTCATGCTTCATATTTTCTGCACTGAACATCTTTGAAGTCTGCTCTTCTTACAATCGCAGGCAACAAGAGCTGTTTCAGTGCAAAAAAAATCTAGCACTACTTGTACATCAAAAGAAGGCAGAAAGAAGGCATTTTGTGGGAAGCCTGACAGTGCGGTAGAAAAAGAAGGGCATGAAGACCTGCACGAACACGTATGCAGTATTCAGCTATGTATGACTTGTCTTATTTTGACACTCTGACAGAGAACAGATAAGCTATATGCAGATTACTCAAGTAGAGCGAGTGTTGGTACATCCACGCTCTGCAGAGAGAAGTTTTTTTGGCAAGGAAGAAGAAAATAGTTAAGCTGATGCATAGCGCGATGCGAAAGAAAGAAAGAAAAAAGGAAAGAAAAAAAAAGAGAAAAGAAAGAAAAAGAAAGAAATAATGAAAAAAAAGAAATAAAGAAAGGAAGAAATGATTGAATGTAGTACATAAGTCACGCTCAAGACCAGCTTTCCTTGGCACCCTTTTTTCGGTAGGGCAAGGGCTAGCGTTTTTTTATGGTGGTGAATATACCTTGTAAAAATGGCTCATCTTGCTCAGTTGTGAAGAATTGTATTATATGTGACTCAAATTTTGGAATCACTGCACTTCAGTCTATCTTAGATTTATCGTCAAGCAATTTAACGCATGCTATCGAGAGCAAATGAGCTTTTCTGACAGCAATAAACGGCCCAACGAGTTCATAGATTACGTTATTGTTTTGTTTACGTGTTGGTCTTGTCCTTGATTTTGTGAGTGCTGACATTAGCTTACAAAAACCGACTTGCCCAGCAGTTCGCCTTAAGCGCTGAAACTACGTTCGTAACACGCGAGAACTTTTGTCAGAGTGAATCCTCTATTCACCGTTTTACATCCTCAATTACATGGACGAATGCCTGCTTGAAAGGAAAAAAAAAACTAGCTTTGAGAGAAGATTTCATTTTCATCATGAAACTTTTCTGTTTTCAACGCTCCCTGTTGTGGCATCCGTTAATGCTCGGTCTCGGGAACTACCTACTTTGCATGAAGTGGCACCAGAGTATTTTGATGCTAACATTCTTTGTTATCCATGCTTCCTTGTTTATGTTGTTAAACAACGTAACTCTGTAAAAACAGTATAGTAGCAGTCACTATTGTTGAATGAGGAGTAGCAACACGAGTGTTATTGCAAAGCTACCTTAAGTGATCACTTTCAGATCAGCTTCGTCCGAGACTATGAAACATAGTATGATTGTTTACAGATTTGCAAAAACTGTGGGGAGCAGTTCCTAAGGAGGGCAGTTGTATTCTCCAGTTTTGCCATTTTCCTCTTTGCATCAGTCGATAAAGCACCTGCTTCTGGCTGCCGCTGTGTATCCTTACACACGACTACGCTGAAAATTATGAAAATATGGCGAGCTTTCAAATTGCTTTCGGGTGGAATGACACTTCCTGTGCTGCGTCGCTAGTCCCAGGTTCACAGACCCTGGACACGAGCGCCATCATAAGCAAGAACTATGGACCATCTCCCCGAAAGGAACCCTGACGGTATGCGAAGCAGCAGCGGTGCACACGCTGTTGACGCGGTTTAAACGGGGGCCGACGCGGGTGCTTAAAGAACGGTTTGAAGTGAAACTCGGCGTAGCGGTTACTCGAGTAAACGTTTGTTTGAAACGCAGACACAGAAGCGGAACGCGTTCAAGACACTAGCGCTCGGCTTCTTTGACTCACGTCTCGTCAGCGTTACCCACGTGCCGTCTTCTGTATTCTAGAACGCGATCGGTGTGCTTGACCAATGCCTCCTAGAAAAATTATGCCTGGAACGTGAACCGCAAACGCGCCGCCCTACCCTCGCATTTTACTCTCCCCCTCCAGTACTGAGGCGAACACCTTTGGCGGTCACGCCTAGAAAACGCAGCAATGCTCTCACAGTTGCTTCCAAGCAGCTGTGCTGTCACGTGACAAAGCGGTGAGGTAGTGTGACGTGACAGAGCGGTACAGAGGCGAGCGGTTCCACGCGGCGGACAGTTGCAACACGAGGCAGGAGGCATGGACTCCAAGCTTTTGTGCTGGCAGGAAGCTCCCACTTGGAAAGAGAGTGACGTTCCAGGCATAGTTTTTCTAAGAGGCGTTGGTTTGACTCACTCCTCGTCGGTGTGGCTGGTCTTCCACTGCCGACGCTTGAGTTCAGCTTCCCTGGCTCGCACCTCGTCAGTGTTGACGTCACCATTCACAAACGTGATTGGCTTCGCTAACCCTCGCAACGCCACCAACAGCCGGTAAAGGTACGCACACAGTATCGGGAAGCCTGCCGCGACGGCGTCCCACTCATCGGCGCGATCGTGCGGCAAGCAATGGCACGCTGTTCACAATGTCGGCTTCGCAAGATTCTCGAGGCGCTCGGCGGGCGCTGCCACCTTCTGCAGCTTCTTCTCGCTGACAAATAGGAAGAGTTAGCCCCAATTTGAGGAGTGGAATAGAGCGTTACCAGCGGTAGAGAGTGAAGCAAGGGAGAACTGACATGCAGGCGAGCGCACGGCAGGTGAGCGAGAGTGTCCTCACCACTCACTGCTAGAAGGCCGTGACCTACTTGGCACCGCTCCGACACCTGCGGTGAGGGAAAGCGCCGACAGCGGGTTATGCTCACGCAGGCTTGTCAAGGAGCTGCTTCATGTCTAAAACGTCTCTGGTGGGTGGTGCTTGCAGAGCCTGGGTGTTCTCTCACGCACACGCCACGACGAGTCTTGTTGAAGCGTCGAACACTCAAGTGGCCAGCATTAGTTGCCTCGTAGAGTCAGTAAGTTTCAGCCACGTTGCGACTTGTCTGGAAAATTTGATGATGAGTGCTGTGACGTTCGAAATGCTGCCGTAGCTGCTGCTGGTCTAAACCACGCTGGTATCTCGCATAAAGCGCAGCTCATGTAGACTCAGGAGGGTGCCATAAGTGTGATGTCCTGGTCGTAGATCTCGCCGATGGCTGTATCTGTTGCACATGGGGCCAAAGCAGAGGTGACAGTTGACGCCGTAGAATTTTAAGCCGGTTGTGCAGATCATAACTGACCAAAGTGCGTTGGTATTGTGGTCTGATAATTATCCTCGAATATGGATCGACACTACGAGTCTGAATGGAATGCAGCTCATTCGCTTGCAGTGTTGTTCCGGTCAGGCTCCCTAAAGAGCTTGAGGTTGTGGTATATGAAGTAAAGCATGCATTCCAGCGGGCCTTTTACGTCTCTTCAACAGCAAAAGACGAGAGCTTTACCGGCAGGTCTTCCATGGCGATGGACGCAATTTTAACAGATGCCTCAATCTTGTTTAGAGACACGGCACTTGGCAAGTGGTGGACGTCTGATGGTTGTGAGGGTGATTCGGGTGGGGCTTCAGGTGGTAAGGCTAATGGTTCTAGAACAGGCTACTTGGATCGACAACCGTAGGCTCTGGAAATGTCAGCGGCTTTGTAGCGCCTGTGGATACAGGGATAGATGACACATGCTTTTCCGGTCCTTTACAAAAGGCATACGTGTCAAGCACGACAACACCTTGTAACTTCATGTTCGCACATGCTGCTGGTCTTGGAGGGCCCGTCAGCTGTCGTTTTTGCTTAAATGTGGCCATGGTCTCTGGTGAAGGTACTCTCGAGGGCAACATCGCGGAATATGAGCTCTGTGGCGGTCGTATTTGTGGCTATTGTAGGGGTGTGCGGGCTGGCTTTCTGCGATGCTCTCTGTGCACGTCTTACAACGCACAACAGTGGCTTCGAAGTGGTTTGCATCGATAGCTCTCATCCACGGTACAGAGTAGGTCGGAGATGATCGGGCCAAAAGTATTCCAAAGCGTACAAAATAATACTTGTCAGTTTGGCATCGGTTTCTTGTCTGATGCCTTCTTAGGCGTACCATGCCTTGGCTGCATTGCTGAGGTCATCTATGGCAACCGACTATTTCTGTTGGCCTAACCAGGTCTCGAGAGCTCCGACAGCTTTTATTGCCGCCACCGAATGTTCGGCATAGTCGTGCACATATGTAAACAGCGTACGGGTACGAGACCCGTCTCTCCTTGAGAGAACTATCTGTTTCTACTTATTTGCTTCGCTGCACGCTCTGCGTAAGGTTAACAGCCGGTTAACCCGCTTTTACAAAGAAGTGGCACTCATCGTTTCGGGAATAGAAAATAGGAATATAGGGTTGAGCATGTCTTCGAAAAACAAGGTGCTTCAACAGTGATATTATAACAAAGGGTTTTCGCCAATTTACGAGTGGTCGCTGTAGAGCTGCATTTCAAAAGTTTAAAGTAGCTGCGCAGTAGTAGTGCCAAGACTGCATAAAGTGCGAAGGTAGGTGGCCTTGTTACTTATCACTGTCGATGGTCGTTATTTTCTTTCTTTCTACCTTTTTTGTATTCAATTGTTTCTACTTTGGCCTTTCTATACTTTCTCTTTCATTTGTTCTTTGCCTTCCTTTCTTTCTTCCTAGCTTTTTCTATATATCTAACTAACCACTTTTTGCATCTTTTTTTCTTTCTCCTATATCTGTTAAACTAACTTGCTTTCATTACGCTCCTTTCTTTAACTATTCTTCGACTCCCTCTCTCTACTTTTCGGCATCTGTTTCTTTTTATACATCTCGCTACCTCTGTTGCTTTGTTATGAACTCTATCTTCTTCCGCCTCTCTTTGCTTTTCCCGGTTATTATTCCTTTCTACCTCACATTTTCTCTCTGTATTTGTTTTCTCGCCGATCAGGTTATGAGACCCTTTCCCTGCTATTCTTTCTTTAAAACATCATGTGCAAATCTCCATGGGTATTAGGCAACGCATACTCTTCAGCACCCCACGTACGGCCCCGCGAACACGGCCCAATGTATCGCCACAGCGAGGCTGAAAGTGGCAAGATTTGTAGTCGAGATTTTTAATGATAAGAAAGGCGTCAATGTCAGTGAGTACCGCATAAAAAAGGTCATAATGAAGATAGTGGGAAAATGCGAATGTCTTCATGTGTGGATTGACAACGTGGCTTAGTACCTACGTAAGAGCTGAATGGAACAGCAAGGCAGCTGTAATGAACAATAGAGCATCGTAGAGAAAAAATACGTACGAGATCACGAGAAGGACTTCAAAAGGTGTAGTAGTTACAGATCTTACATTCGGCAATGCGGTCTTGTGCATGAGATTAGATGTATGTTGCGAACAATGTTTGAAGTGAAGCAACCTGGCGTAGGTGGCGCGATTTGGGCGCTCACGGAAATGCACCGAATCTCGAGGTGCGAGGGGACATGGTATGGAAATTGTTCAAGGATCAGCGAAACTAGCCGCACGATAAAGTTTGATAAGCGATGAGCTTGGAAAGCTTTCACCTACTTGTACATAATGAATGTTGATACAAGCAGGGAGAATCCAACCTAGCAAGTGCCGAAGAATGGCTTCGGCAAGAGCAAGAGCTGAAGGGGAACAGAATAACAGGCAAACAGAGTGACCTGTGGAGACTAGGGATGCTTTATAATCAGCACTAATCAATAAAGTCAAGAAGTTTCTAGCAAGAGATTGCTAAATAAAGATCCATAATATCTCTCGGGATAGCTCCCCGTACCATGAAGTCAGGACAAGAATAATAATATTTGATAAAATAAACCTCTCAAAACGGCAATATAAATATGAGGGATGCTATAGAAAAAGGCTGCACAAAGTTAGAGCACCTGGGGTCCCTCAACCAGCCTTTATTATAAGGACATGAACATCAAGCATGTTCGCCTCAACTGCAAGTACGGCCGCTGTGGTTGTAATTTAATGTCGGACCTTCACTTCACCAGTCGAGCACCATGGTGGGTAGCCTGGATAAGAGCACTGCCAAGCAGGGAGCCAAATGCGAAGCGACTGACACACTTCGTGGTGTGTGTGGAGAGGAGGAGGAAACGGCTGAACACCGGCAATTTGCTGTTCAACTCACAGTCCAAGTCAATAGGGAGGAATTGTGTAAAGCATTGGGGTTCAGAGACAGTGAAGGTAAAATAGACTAGGTGCGTATAAATACCCAAAACGAGATTACTTGATTGGTGGCGGTAGTCAAGGCTGAATCTCTCACACGCTAGTTTTAGCCCTTTGCCATAAGGAACAAGTTAGGTGGCATTAACCGCCATCAGATCAAAAGTAAAGTGCCTGAAGCCCCATTGCGGCGTCTCATGCACGACGCTCTGCGGTGAACGGGGATGTACACGGCCTCATAGTGCGGGTGCACTTGTTTATTTTTCAGAATCCTGCATCACTGTTTCCAGGGATGGTACACAGTGATTCAGCCATAAGATCAGCCGAACAACTAGAGGCCCACACGAGAGAAAGCATTTCTACGGCTGGTCTGCACTGCTTAACCTACTACAGGTACAACAGCCGCTGGGTGTTCCGTCGCATGGAAGACTACGTTGGTGAGTTTACTAACAAGCGCGAAGCAAACAGTTACCGGTGCAGGGTAATGGATTTACAACGAATCCATTTCATACAGCTATCCGTATGTTCTAATTATGTGAATTTTATTATCATTTTCAGCAAAAAAATATAAAGACGAAAACATTATGGCCTGCCCAGTTTTTTTAAATGCAATACCCAAAAAATGAATCAGATATCGCAAAAAGCGTAGTATTCAGTGAAGCATTTTCTTTACAATCAGGTACTGTATACTGTTGAAGTCAGAAAAGTTTGCTATTTCGTGTGTTCATGGGAACATCGTCGGCGGGGTAAGCGATTAAAAGCACCAACCCCTCCGCAAACTATTCCGAGCCGAAATTGGTACGCCTGAATGATAATAGTAATCTTTACCATTTGATAAGGGCATCCCATCGGTTTCGTATACCGATACCAACTAACAGACAAGAAAGACAGAAAAAGAAGCAAAGGGAAAGCAGAGAGTCAACCAGGTTGCAGCCGGTTTCCTACCCTTCAATGGGACAGAGGGAAAGTGGGAGGAAAAGAATAGAGATGGAAAGAAGGAAAGAGAGGCAAAGTTATACAATACCACACATAGCAGCGCATGCACCGCACATGCGCAGAAGGTCATAAAATGCAAACAGCCACAGAACTAGAAATCAATTTCGACTGCATTAGAAGACGTGCACTGTATTCCATTACGTTAAAGGGGTACTGACACCTTTTTTCGCTGGCGAGATTGCTCTGCTATACATACTACCTGTTTCTGCATTCACAAACTTCGCAATTAGTGCTGTTTTACATTATGATGTATGATCCCTCTCGTATAATGCTCCTAATGGGAACTGGTGATGTACCTAAATAAATAAATAAATAAATAAATAAAGAGACAGCTCCGAATAAGTGTGACGCTCAGCAAATGCTGGTAAGGTAGTTTCTCTTGATATTAATGTCAAATTTCCTCGCTGCGCACATACCGACATCAACACCAGCATGACGTCCGGCTGTAGGTGCTAATCCTGCTCACTTCACGCAGCAGTCTGGCAAGTTGTGATGACGTCAAGCACAAAAACATGGAAAATTCTAGATTCCACGTCGCCTTCTCGATCGTCTGCACGCGCCGTGTGGTCACTGTCACCCAGCGTGCCTTTGATGCTAGCTAGTGGAGTCTGAAATAGTGTACGTGCTCGCGAAGACGAGATATACGCTTATCAGAGGGCAGAGTAATTGTTTGATTTCGAATTCATTATCATTGTGCCCATATTTTGCCGTCTGAAGTCTTGCTCCAGTAAGACGGGGAGCAATAGGTGCAAGTTCCACCAATTGCCGTCCTGTCTGGTGCTGACAGAAGCGTGCACGGGTTGAATTCGTGAGCCGTGGTCGAGGCGGAGACTGGACGTCAATCGAGTGGAGTCAACTCTGTTCGCTGCACTTCAGTCCTCACGCGTTCTATCGGCATCAAATGAAACGCGAACAGCGGAGCGCGTGGCACAGTACCTTATCAATGGCATAGTGCGTGCCATCCACCAGTCATTGACACAGACAGGCCCTCACATCCGGTGTGGCAGCACTACGCAATCCCCCTTTATTGCGCTATGTCTGCTTGTGTTCTATGTATGGTAATGGCATTTCAAAAGAACAAAATAAATAAATACAGAGGTTAAACTACTGCAGCCGAAGGCGAGTATTGTAGCACGGTTTGTCATCACGAAGTACATTTTCACGGAATGCCTGGCAAACTTATTTATTGTAGAAAAAATTCAGTTCACAATGCTGGCGATTTCACGCTGTTTCACCTAGTGCCGGTAAAGTGACATGATTTGCGCTCTCTTTTCCGAAAAAACGCTTGGCATTTGCCAGTTAGAGTGAAGCCTTTTCCGGTCGGTCACTTAAAAAAGGGCACAGGTGAAGCAGCGCTGGCGTAACGAGATACGACAATCGTTTGAAAATCCACCGCGAACCGATTATATTTCTCTTCTTGTTCAACGTGTCAAGACATCGACTGCGCTGCCACGCTGCAGCAAAAGCAAGTAATTGTGCGTGATACGATCAAAAGCGCTCGGCACGGCCACGATTTACACCATTGTCACAATACGAAAACTAGAGCAGAAACAGAGATAACGCACTCTAGGTGGATCGCGCAGTGCTGCAAAACTGGATGTGCAGGCCTGTCAATGGTGATGACTGGACGGCCAGCACTATACTGTTTCTAATGCTTGAAACATGCGCTCCGCTGTTTGGGTTTCATTTGACGCAGATAGCACACGCGCAACGTGCAGATGCTGACCGACTTCGGATTATCGACGAAGAACCTGCGTATTAAAACGTTGTGTCCCCCTGCCGCCACATTCGCCACACGTGTGGCGCGCGGCCGACGACCGAAAAGCGATGCTCAGACGGGGATACATCACGAAAACCTACGTTTGCACATAATACACATGTGCGCTGCTCATACTATCTAGTGACGTCAGGGTACAGTACAAACCGATACCCGCTTTTAAAAGCACGCTGTAATTATTTCTTTAGGGCACAGTCAACCTTACCGGTACATTTCCAACGCTCTTGGCGGCTTAGTCTATCATTTGATGCAACAAAAAATTGGTTAAAAATTTTGTGTCAGAACTCTTTTAAAGAAGGCTTGCAAGGACTGGCCCTAGGGTATCCAGAACTCGCAGTGGGGTTCGAGCTGATTGGGTTGTCAATCCGGTCAGAAGTGCGCGCATTCTGCACATCAACACAACCATGACACGTAGGCTTCATGGCGGAGATCGTTAGTAGAATCTTGTGTCTTCTCTTTTTGGACGCGCAATGGCATGGCTGTGAAGACGTCCACATGCCACTGGCAGGTACCGATCCAGGGGCGTGTGGTCATCCTGTACTACCAATGCGCGTGTCCGATGGAGCCATTGGCGTGTGCAACTGTGGCTCGCGTAAGTGAGCCGCGTCTCGTAAAACCAGAAGGTAACTACTCTACCATCGAAAAGAAGCGCACAGAAGTTGTTCGTGCCATGTGCAAGCTTCTACGATTGGTCAGTGACCAACATTCGCTTTGTTTACTTAACATTATACGTGCTCTATATGGCCACTTCACGCGCGGGAGCCTTCGTCTTCCACAGTACGACATAACTGTCGTCTACAGATCCGGACATCAGTACACCGATGCTGATTGCCTATCACGTGCTGCTATTTTCTCCACATCATCTGGCACGAAACAAGATTTCTTGTTTCTCAGTTTGTCGCACGTGGTATGGATGACTGGACATCAACATGGGAACACTGGTATTTTTTGAAGGAGCCTGCTTCATACACCTGCTCTAACTAGTATTGACATCATATTGCCTGCGGAACTGTGTTTTGTACAAGAAAAATTTGACAACGGCCAGAAAATTTTCTTCTCGTTGCAATGGCAGTGCGTGTAGAAGTATTGCAAACTTGATACGATCACCCCACTCCCTGTTATTTACGCTTGCCGAGAACATTAGTGAGCATACACCATACATTCTCCTGGCAAAAGTTATATACCTCAGTTTAGCGCTGTCACGGCCTGCGGTGACTGTCAGAGGCGTAAAGTTCCACTCGTTAAGCCTTTCGCCTTTCTCCAACCTTTAGACCCACCTCCAACACCGTTCCAGCAAGCGGGAATGGATCTGCTGGGTCCATTCTCGAGGACATCCTCAGAAAAGCAATGGGCCATCTGCCTCGCTATGCGGCGATGAAAGCTGTGCTCAGGAGAACAGCTCACGAAGTCCACTGATTCTTTGTCCATGACATCATGCTTCGTGACCACTCCACTGCTGATCTCATCACTGAATCGTGGTGAAGTGTTTACTACAGAGTCATGGCAACAGGTCGCCAAGCTGATGCACACCAACCCCCGGAATCCTATCATCTCCAAACGAACGGCTCGACAGAGCTATTGGACAGGACATTGGCCGACATGCTATTTGTGCATGTTGATGTGGAGCTTAAAATGTGCTATGCTTTATTATAATGCAGCAGTGCAAGAAACCACCAAGCTTACAGCATTCCAGCTTTTTTACTGATGCAGCGTCGCAGCAACATCACTCAACGCCGTGCTCCGAGTTGAACAAGAAACCAGCAGAAATGACAACGCTGTCGACTTCACTTCAGAAATCCTAGGAAGCACGCCAGTTCGCTCGGATCCCAGATTGCCCACCAGCAGGATACCGAAGCTCACCATTACAACGTGGGCCGACAAAACGTCTACTGCCAAACATGTGACTACGTGTGGTTGTGGACACTTATCTGACATCGCGGATTCTCAGGGAAGCTGTCACGACGCTATTTCGGTCCTCATGAAGTTGTGCACGGCATTAGTGATGTGAATTACGAGGCTGTGCCCAAAACGTCTAATCCGAGTCAGAGGCGATGACGGAGAGAGCTGTACAACCAACGCCCGCGAGTGATTAGCAACCCCTCGCATTTCCTTAGCAACATGCACCACGTTACCTAGGTTATTTTGTTCCGACACGGAAACATCTTTCTACATCGTGTTGTCATTTTGCACCCGAAACCATCGACAGGGACGGTCACTTTTGAGATGGGCGAAATTGCGCCAGGTAGGCTGGCAACTGGAGTGGCCTAGCCTGCCTTTAAAAGGAAAACGAAGTTAATCGGTGTGCGTGTGTTCTAGTTAGCCATTTTCCTTAAGTAAACGCCCTGTTGGATCTTTGCCTGCGTTCATCTGTTGGTGTCTGTCCTACGATTCAGCCGACCTGGCGACAGTTTGAGCCTGTGCTCAAAGCTCACACATCATGTTCTGGTTGCTTCATTCATACCGGTGAACATTGTCAATCAAAAAGCCTATATTACGCATATTTGAGGTGCAACAACAATAAATTAGTTTTAAGCAGTGTGTCTTTTCATTAGTATTCGTTTTGAGTTGAACTGGTGCATTTCAGTGAAACTAAAAAAATGCAGAGAGGGCAATCAGTTTTGGGGACCTGGTGTGCGGCAAGTGTTGCTGATTAAACAGCAGGGAGCATTCCTAATGCTAGTTGTTTGCGTTCTCACACTACATGAATGAAGAGCCACCGAGTGGCGAAATACTCCGGGTTAACTTCAACCACTTGGTATTCTTGAAGAGGCAAAAACTGTGTCCAATAGTTTAAAAAACGTGAAATAAACACGAGCAAAAATCACATGAGCGGCGTAGTCCATAGAATTGCGGAGGATCGCGCTGGCAGGTTGTTATATCATGTCCGTGTTTATTTGGTGCTGTTTATTTCGGGCATACGTACCGAATTTCTCACATATACTCTCTTTTAATACAACAACTAAATTCAGGTACACTGGGTTAGTTTTTTTTATTTGTATCTTTCACTTCCTAAGAATGCGGCCACCGTTGGTGGACACATAACTAACGTGAGGAGCTTAATAGAGCTCCACCTGAGCTGCTAGGGAGGTAGCGAGTGCTGTCGAGTGGAAGCCGGACTAATTGAACGTGCAGGGAAGTGGTGTTCTGGAAGTTGCTGGGACCCTAAATCACTCTTTAGGTTCGCACCTGCCACGTGCTTACTTTGGCAGACAGGGTCTCACCCAATGCAGATGTGTTTTGCCAAGCTTGTTCGATGATGTTTCGCTCACGGTTTGGTCAAATTTCTTATGAGCGCTGATTTGTTCCTAAGTAGCAAGTAAGCACGGAAATTTCTAAACAATTTTCATGTGCGCATTTGATTTTATTTTTCATCGATAATTCGAAAAAACAATCAATTATAAATTTTGAGATAAAATCTGTAGCTGTGTGTCAGTCGTGACCGTTTCATAATAATAGCAGTGGTACAGTCTTTATGGCGCCCACCTCCTGACCTGACAAGGGCAATTTCAGTCATGGTCGTGGTGGTCGCCTTTCGACGGAGGCTAAATGCTGGAGTCGTATGTAATGAGAGATGCCACGGCATGTTAGTGAAACATCAGGTGGTTCAAATTATGCGAAGCGATTGTTTCTGTGGACTTCCTGATCATTACATCATGGATTGGCACGTAGGATTGCACCAATCGCTATTATGAGAAGTTAGCGTTGTATAGAGCACGCCGTTAATACTCGTTATGGAAGCATAGGGGATATATTTGAATATACACATGAAATATCCGTCCCGACTCTGGACAGCCCAGTACTGTTTCATATCAATAAAGAATACTGAAACACTTTAAAGGAAATCTTATTGAATACTTTATGCTTTTTTTACAGACGCTTTTATGTCTTCATTCAAAGCGCATAACGGAGTTGCCCCGGAGAAGCAATCTACTCTCAGGGACGTATGGATCGACCTGTTCCAGAAAAAGACTCACGTTGGTCTTGGAAGAGAGTTTCCCGTTACGTACACTTTCAGCATTGTTCACGCCCGAAAACCATATTATTCTTAACACGGTGCAGATGCAGATGAAATCTTCGCTTCTGTTTAGTAGTCACGAGAAATGATGTGCTTCAATAAATTGCCATTTCTATGGTTTCGGTGCCACGTTGTCTGATCATGACGGCTCACACTGTGTAATACGGAAATAACTTTATTAGTAGCCCAAATTTGTGACGAACTGCAATTTTCCTTTAGTAAATCTGTAATTTCCCTTTAGACTGGCAACCTTACAGCTCAAGAAGGAACAAACTGTGCAGAGAGTATATGTTTTGGTGCACGGTCTCTGACGCAGCTTGCCCCGCCGCGGTGTTCTAATGGTTAAGGTACTCGGCTGCTGACCCCGAGGTCGCGGAATGGAATCCCGGCTGCAGCGGCTGCATTTTTGATGGAGCCGAAAATGTTGTAGGCCCGTGTGCTCAGATTTAGGCACACGTTAAAGAACCCCAGTTGGTCGAAATTTCCGGAGCCCTTCACTACGGTGTCTCTTATAATCGTATGGTGATTTTGGGACGTCAACCCCACATATCAATCAATCAATCTGACACAGGTTGTTGCTGTGACAGGAAGTCTCGCAACCTTTCAATGTCTTAGACAGCCTTGGCTACAGATGCAATATTTGAACCTGTCTCAGTCATTACAATTTTCTAGTTGTACTTTTTCCTCACGGTTTTGGAGTAACAATAAAAACGTATTTTTCTTTCGTATCTGATAAATTTTTTTCAAATCGCAGTCTTCGAGCAGCGCGAAATCCTGAGCCTGGCCTGATATTAGGGCAGCGTTTGGGCAGGCTGACGTCTTCTCATACCAGGATCAACCGGGCTCGGACTGCATTGCCTTTTATTTGGGGGAAGGGGAGGGCGGGGGGAGGAGATAGCTGTTGGGGCAGGATGGTTTACCACCAAGTAGAATCTTTTCCGTGACCGCTCGAACCTTCTTTCTCGGTTCTTCTCTCCTTTAGAACTTTAAATGTGAAATGAGAGGGTAAAGCCACACATCATGACCTTTGTGATTATATATACTGTAGCCAACAAATATAGCGCCTTCAGTTGAAACAACTGTTTATTTAGGATGAACCTGTGATGTTAACTCAACCTACTCAACTTCTTGCGAATAAATCGTATGCTCACTCTTCCCGAACTTATTCGCCGTCCTCTTCAACCCTTTTTTTTCCCTCATGCCAGTCATTCTACGAGCCGCCAGTCTTCTTCAGCACGTGGTATGGTGACACGCGCAGTTCAGCGTTCCAATGCGCGCTTTGCTTGCCTGCTGTGTGGCGCAATATATAAAAGCAAGAACCGGCCTATGAGTACAGAAGGTGCCAGGCAACTTGTGGCAATATACGAAATATATGACTGATCCCTCTGATCTCATCTGAGATGCTAAACTTCTGACATCACAGATAGTAAATATTCCACGCTTGCCATGCTTGCATAAATATATTGGTGATTGCGACTACCGTGGGAGTAACGAACGAACTTTCAGTTGGGCGCGATTTATCTGACGATAGCAGCTTCAGTACTTCATTAAAGCCCGAATGGTACGATAGCCTACTTTATACAACTTGTAATTGTTGCAATATAGCGACTGTCATTTGTATTTTGCTTACGTGTCACTTTGGTATGTCGAATAAAATACCAGATTACCAGAAAACATCTTGCATTCGCAACAAACCTTCATATTCTGAGGCCGGACCAGGACGGGTCCGGATTTTTCTTTTTGTACGTCGGGCCGGTCCGTGCCGGGTGGTTTCGCAGAACAGCTAGCGTTGGGCTCGGGCAGGCTGTTGATGCTGGGCCAGACTCACGATAAAAAATTGGTGCCATGCACAGCTTTACTGCGTGGGTTATCTTGCTTATGACTGGGGTGTGCATCTGACACGCTAAAATCACCCTTGTAAGGACTGTCTTTTTCCTTTTTTTTTCTTATCCGCCTTGTCGATGGGGTGTGCATCTGACACGCTAAGATCACCCTTCCCTTAAAATGCCACTTCATATACATTTGGCGCTCGCCTTCCAAGATGACTGCTATTTTATTCTACTATATTTAGCTGAAGTGTCTCCTATCTTATCGTACTCGCCTGGCGGCGTTCAGGTCTGCACGTTGGCTTAAATACGTAGCGCATTTCCTTGTCCTGTACAGTCGTTTTTTTTGTAATTGACTTGTTGGGATTGTGGCCGCATCATGCTTGTCGACTAAGGCACAAGTTCGGGCTCAGTGCGGACCTCGTCGGTTGGTGAGCCCTGCTGCGATGTAAGACGGCCATCATTTCACATCCATTCCTTTTTTTTAAATATTCACTTTCTTCCTCTCAGTTAAACTCTTAAGAGTGCTTCTCTTAGTAGCACCGTCATGCTGGCGTCAGCAAGTATCGGGCATATTAGCGCTTTCCTTGCATTCCTTAGCTACTTCGAACTGTATGCCTTGGTTGCATCCGGTCATAAAATCAGGTTTTTACTTAGGTATATAACAGGCTTTTTTCATAATTAGGCCTCTTTGCACTGTCTTTGAAACATGTCCTAAGGCTGGCGCGTGAGGCTGCCCAGCGATTGTGTGGCTCTTGTATTTTTGTTAATGCTACACTCACTGGCGGCCCACATCCCAGTCACTTTTGTCTTGCGCGCGCATTTCTCTAAGACAGCGCAGCCAGCGCCACTTACCCTTCCTGGAAGTCGTAACTGCGCCTAAAGTATGTTCTCTGCCTAATGGAGGGCGCTTTGTGTACGGGAATGATCTTGCGCATGACGCGAGATCATTCCCTGAGACCCTGAGTCTGATACAACAATGCGAGCAGCTCTGTCCAGCTCGGATCCGGAGACCCAAGAGGCCCTCGCGAGATGCGCGTAGACAGCAGCCCGCGCGAATGTGATCCTAGAGTAAGGATCCCACTCACCAACATCCCTTCCTCGGTCGCAAATAATTGTTTTGTTCTCTCTCTCTCTCTCTCTCGCGCGCGCGCGTGATGGGCACCCTTGTGATACTGCGGATTTCAAACTTCTTTGCCCCCTTTTTTGTACTTAACGTTTAATCTCTTTTGCAAATGCACCATTTTTTTCTCTGATTAGTTACTTCTAGGATCTTTACTTCTACCCTGCATAGCCCCCCCCCTTTTTTTTATTTCGAATGCGCTCAACACTTTGAGCGATAATTGGCTTCCTTCATTTCTTCTTAAAAAATTTAAACTCGATTTTAATTCATTGTAAGGACTGTTCCTTTTCATTTTTCAGTAAGGACTGTCTCTTTTCTGCCGATAAAGTGCTTGTGCTGCTAGGGCAGGAAACGTCAACCGAGAGTGCGAAGTGCCACGTTGCACCCGATGTAGATGCTTCGCACAGCGAATACCGAGGACACCGCTGAAGGAGCCTAGCCGCCCACAGGACCTCGCAGCAAACAGACGAGTGGCATTGACAGGCACAGACAAGTTGCTGGAGCTTCCAGAACGTGTAATAGTTCCTGCTGTCACGCCGTCAGTCGCTGAACTTCTAAAGGTCTAACAGGCATTGCCAACCAAGGAGGCAGACAATGCAGCATCACCTCGAGGCGACACGGCCGGAAGTGGGGATGACAAGTGTGTCGCCACAACGAAGCGTTCGCGCGACGCGACTAAGGCACCTGACAAGAGGTCGACTACCCACAGCGAGGAGCCGCCTGCAAAGGCACCACAAGGGAAGCGGCTGACCCTCAGACCCAAGCCCAAGATTCCAAGTGACAGTGGAGTCCTCCGGAAGAAGCAAAAACCACCTCTTCTGGACAACTTCAAACTTTCTGTACTAATGGCTCCCTTTACAACCGAGCAACTTCACTACAACGAGCCCCGTGGATTGGCATATCGGCCCCAGTTCATCCCAACGTGCGGCCTCCTCAGCAGTCGCAGGTTCGACGCCCAAGACAGGACGCACCCCCTCTTTTTCTTCTTTTTTTCGCCCCACCTCCTTTTCTTTTTTCCTTTTATTTACTGTTTTTTTTGTCCTTCAGTACCCGCTTGACCCTCTCGAGTGTCATTTCTGTGCCTACACAGAACGCACTTATGCTATGCTGCAGCGCCATTACAGAGAGTCCCACGATGTATTCATTTAGTGGCGTTGTGGGAGCTGTGATATGGTGTCTGGTAATGCTCAGCGGCTGGCGGCTTATCATTGGCGTTGCTCACGCAACAAAGAAGCAAAGCGTGGCATTGAGCACCTTAGCCTCATCCTCTGACTCTGATAAGTCAGATACTTCTAAACATTCAGAGCCGCGGCAGGCTAATACAATAGCTGCTTCGTGTCCTGTCGGTTAGAGGGAGGGCGACGTGCTCATTATTTATCCCCCAGTCGAAAACCGCTGCTCTGCGTGCGGCGCCATTCTTTCTTCGCGAATTGCCCTAGAAGACCACTTGAAAAAGAAACATAAGTTGCAACTATACTGGAAATGCTCTAGCTGCCTATCACCCCTCTATAAAACCTTGCATTCCGCATCGGCACATTTTGCTAAATGCCGAAAAAGACGGACTTTCTCTGGTGACGTACCGACCAGAGCCGGTAGTGGTCAAACAACTTTTCCCCTCCTAGCAGAGCCCGAAGGAGCGGCTCCGATATACCACGGCCAGCGCAGGCAAGGAATGTTAGTACCTCTTCCTGTGGTCATACGGCCTATAGGTGGACGGAAGACTGAAATAGACGAGTAGCTGCAGTCAGGCTCAGGCTGGGCGACCTTGCTTAAAACTATCAAATGAGCTTTGATGTTCCAGGGCGCACCGACCAGAAGGTGGCTGTGCTTGTCTCAATGACACGATTTTGGGATATCAAGGCAGCCTACAGGCGCCAGCGTGCGGGCTATGGCGGCAGACGAGGCGGTAGTCATGTTTTTGGCACCCCTTGCTTCCCAGGGAACAGGATTCAGAAGGAAGTCGGTAAGCAGGGCGCCAAGAGCCTGTCCGTAAGCAGAAACCCGGGTGCTCTTAAAACACTACTGCAGACTAGCTCTTCCTCTTCGTCCTCCTCCTCTCCCATCAGGCGGTGCAGTGTCGGCTCCCTCCGACAAAGAGGATTCCTGTCTGGACAGCATTGAGGCTGCCCACAGCACACAGGTTCCCCCTGCCGTATCCTCCGGAAAGCCACCAGGG